TTTTGAGCGAAATAATTCCTTGAAAGCAAATTTAGCTGAGAATTCTAAGTTATGCATACAGAAAGTGCTTACTGTCCTATATTCATTACTACCTTCCAGTGACTTTATCCAGTGTTTGACCGGATGATCGGCATAATGAAAAGCAAGAATTTGGGAAGATTTTTTATCTCAAATTTATTTGTGTTTCCTTTAAATTCGGTGAAATCATTGTCCTCAGTATGAGTTTCATATGTTTTTCTAAACCTATTTATTGTCTGTCACGCTCGCTACACTATTTTTGAATTTAAGTTTTAAACCTGTAACGCCATTGTAAGTCAGTAGAATTGGCTTGGTGTGAGTTCGAGGATTTGGATTCCTGAAGAATAATTTGTTTCTTCAAAAAATTGGTAAGTATTGCCGAACAGAAATTCCTCGAAATTGTTTGTAGGATTACTCTCTGTAGGGTAGATATGATATAATGAGTGATTCTAGATTATTCTCGCCAAACTAATCTCATTCTGCTTTTTGAGGACTGTTTTTAGCAGGAAACTCTGACTGTTAGAATCATTAATCATCGGTTCGCACGGCGCTTTCAGTAATCTTTTCGAGTATTTTGTGTAATGTTCACAAAATTTACAAAATTCTTTCATATTGTCTACGGTTTTTATTCGTATTTTAGGCAGCGACGTATTAGTTAATTTGCTCTGCCTTTAAGTACCATATTGTGCTGTACCGTAATATCTCCTTTATGACCTGATATGACAATCATGCAGTAGTAACAAGTATACTAGTAGTAGTATTCTGTCTTCATTGAGGTTATGATAATGTATTTTTCATATATAATGAAAATTTTTCCTAAAAGTTTCATTTTTTCCAAATTTTAGTCAGTTTTTGAAATGGATATGTTAAAAGCATTTGTGCACACTTGATTTTTTAGTTTGCTTTGATGATCATTTTTTTCCTTTTAATTTGAACCTGATAAATTTTAAATTAAAATTGAAGTTCAGTACACTATATAGATATCACTGATTTTTTGATTTTTGCAAGTTGTTCGGTGTAATTTTTTCTAGAGAGACCATTTTCAATGTGCATCAGAAATTGTCACATCTATTCTTATGTGTCAGGTTAAAAGACAGAAAAACCAATTGCAAATTTTAAAGTTTCTGACAACTTATGTGAAGGAATCAATTGTTTGAAATTCGCAGCATGTCTGTTGAAAAATATGTGTTTACTCTCCCATATTCCTTCATCTTGTCATCTCTTGTCTTTTTTCAATTTTTCCTCGCTGTTTTTTAATACACTAAATGTTCATTGTTAGTTTTTATTGATTTACCAACCATCTCTATGGTTATGGCCTTTCATCTGAACATCAAACCCTCTGAGTTTGCTATGTTTCAAATCCAAGAAAGAAATTCATTTGTAGAATTTTTGTATTGTATGTTTAACAAAACTGAAAACGGAATTTCTCTCTAAAATAACTCTTTTATTTATTGTGATTCAAGTTTTTTTGTAGTGAAGATTTCTTGTTAGTCCGGTCGTTTCTTTTTTCTTCATTAGATTTGAGAAATTCATTGGGTCTGAAAATTTAAATTTAGCATCTGCGATTTTCCCACATATTTTCAACATTTTCACTTTTTTTTACCTGACATTTTTAAAATCGTTCGTGCGCATATTTATAATTTTACGAGAGGTTTACTATGATGTGGATAAAACCGAACATAAATTTTTGGAAACTTCGAGCAAATGCGGATGGAGAAAGAGGGTAAATTTGAGAAGCTATTTTTCCATTAAAAGAAAAATTTCTCATTGGCTACGGTTATTTTCATGAGCTAAAAAGTGATTTGGCTGACATAAATGACAGCATATTCTCCAATCTTATATTAAAGTGGGAATGATAATAAGTGCAATATGTGATATTAGATGTAACTGTTCCTTCTTAAAGCATAGTTTGCTTGATCCCATTTATATTTTAAAATAATACTTTCGAAAACTCTTGCTTGCACATAAAAATATTCGCTTCTATTAGCGTATTACAACGATTCATTTACATTTCGATTAATTACTTGTGAACTTAAAATTTATTATTTAATTGCTATGATCTTGCAGAAGTGCGCGCACAAGCATGCATATAAATAATCCTTAAAATGGTGCTTACTCTGTGTGAGAATTATTGTACCTTGCAATATAAAAAATATGCATGTGGATAAATAGGTAAATGAATTTAGTTTAGCAGGAAATTATGATTACTTTTTTTTGCTTTACAGCATTTTAAAATAACGGTTAAAGATTACTCGGAAACTATTACGTATGAGGGATATGGGAATAGTATGATATAAAACTGTCATAGTAGTAAATAATAATGATTGACAATGATATTGAATAATATTTAATTAACATAGAAATTCAGCTGATTATCTACAACTAAACGGACAATGCGCACAATTGACAAACGAAGAAAAATTGAAATAGAAATAAAATGAAATTTAAAGCTGAATGGTCGAATATACTATTCTTCAGAAGATCTACAGTTTTTTTTGGTGAAAATTAAAAAGTTGAAGTTGATAGAATGTTTCTCGTTCTACTATGATTCACCTTAACTGAGAGAATTCATCGTAAAATGCACAATAATGTGAAGCTCAAGTTAAGTTAATTAATTAATGGCTGCAAATTTCATGGAAAGAAAAGAATATATTTATGAATAAATAAAGGTTTTCCGTATCGTTGGAATTTGAATGATTATTGCACAAAATTATTTTGTTAGAGTTCATTCTAAATATTCAAAAATATCTTAACCAAATTATTCTAAAGAAAATACTCGAATTAAGATAGCTTTATTTAAATTCGTGACAAAAAAGCAGACACGTTCAGTACACATATATATTTTGTAGGAAATCATACTCGCTTTTTCTGCATGCAAAATAAAGCGGAAAAAAACGAAGTGTTGAAATACTACTGCTGCAATTGCTGATGATAATGGGATGATGAATTAGTAGAATTTTTCTTAAACAAACAATTTTCAACCCCTCGGTTTTGCGGAATGTTTTTCTGCTTGTACTTTGAAAACCCATTCACCATTGAAATGATCAGTATGTCGTTTGACCTGAAAGATCCATACATGATATAGATCATAATTTTTTGGTAGTTCAAAAAAATGAACTTCAATTTAAAAAATTGAAGAAAATTTGCTAGGTGGTAATCTAATCTGAAAAATCTATAAATGATATAGATAACGGTGAAACATTGCTACTTAATATAAATATAAGGAAAGACATTTGCGACTTCCATTAGTCAACTAACAGAGATGCAAAAGATTTCTTGATCTTCAGTGTAATAGTCGCATGATGATAATGTGATTGCATGCGCGATATGATGCCGTGTGAATAGCGCATAAATTAAAACTCATGATGTTAGAAGTGAATTAATTTCATTAAAACAAACTCACTGGATGATTACTTAAGAATTTTAAAATGCATAATAGAAGAATTCAACCACACATAAGAAATAAAGAAACAAACTTGCTCTAAGCCAAGTTCAACTTTCGATAACTCCCTTATTTCGTATTTTTTGACTTTACCCGTTACTGTTAACGGAAATTCGTTTTCTTTTTTGAATAAAATATATCGTGGAATTTTGAAGTGTGCAATCTGCAAGAATAAATTTCTGAATTGAAAAAACAAATGAGCAGATTAATTAATTTCTTTCCTTTCTTTTTTAAGTTTTTATTGCAGAGATCAGAATTTAACAAATTCTTTGCTGTAAGTGCTTCTGTAGGTTGTTACATTTAGATTCTGAAGCAATTAATCATCAGAAAGTATATTTAATAATCATTAGATTCTTACTCGTCCTTTGCAAAAATTTCGGATATCTTCCTCTGTAACATCACTTGCAGAATCATGCAATCGTATCCATGCACATACTACTTCGCCATATCGTTCATCCGGTACACCAACAACCTAAAAACAAAGAAATATCTTACTTTTAGCATCATCTTTTATAGAACAATAGAGAATACCATTATCATTTCTTTTCAGTCAATCTCTTTTCAAATCACTGATTCTGCATATAGAAGAGATTGTATTAAATGAATCTGATTAACAAATCAGAATTTGCTATATGTGTAAACAAATTCAGGTTTACAATTTTCTAATCTAGGTAAATAAATTAATAGATTGATAAGTAATTCAGATGGAGAATTTGAACAGATCAATTCTTCTTGACAATACCTGCACATCTTCAATTTTTGGATGTCGAAATAGATATTGCTCTATCTCCAACGGATAAATATTTTCACCACCACGTACAATCATATCCTTTTTTCTGCCAACAATGCTCAGTGAACCATTTTGATGAATTACACCAATATCACTGAAAATGAAACTTCCCTTGGTTTGAAGTTTAAATAGTTGAAGGAGAAAAGAAAGGATATGATAGAAAGGATATTAAGTCTGTAACTAACCCAGTATGATACCATCTATCAGCCGTAATTTCTTCTTTAGTTTGCAGTTCATTATCCCAATAGTATTTCATCACGGAATAACCACGTACCAGTACTTCACCACGTTCACCACGTGGTAAAATAATTCCTTCATTATCGACTACAGCAGACTGAAATACATATTAAATTTTTTTCGAGTCATAAAAATAAGAAGCAATACATTATGAAGGAGTTACATAAAATATACGTTCTCAAAATGTTATTAAACTAAATATTAAGAGAAAAATTATTAGTACCTCAAGATGATCCATGATATAGCCAACAGATTTAACGCGTTCCTCCGGTTGTTCCTTTCGAAGTGACATGAAAGATACTGGACTAGTTTCCGTTGTACCATAACATATCTAAAAAATTCAAAGAATCCAAAAAAAATCGATAGGTAAAAAAATTTGAAATTATTAAAACGAAGAAAGTTTTGTCAAAAAGAATCGAAATTTTGTCAAAAATTTTAACCGTATGATACCTGCAAATCACGCATACCCAATTCCTTGACAAGTCTTTGACATAATGCTATAGGACATGGCGCTCCGGCTACAAAACCTGAAACATTAATGTAGTAATTTTAATGGTAGATTTACAGGATGTATATTGAATCATTAGATACTGGTACTAGAATGAATTCCAGACAAAAGTCTTGAAGTGAGATTAAGTATGTTTAAGCATTGTTATATTGTACTCTGATAGAATTTATTTTTTTTTTTCAACATAATATTGCTTAAATTAAAACAATTCATATTTATGAAAAGAATTTACCCGATGTTATCGATGTGCAATCAAACTGCTTATATTGAGGATGATTTAGCATATCAATATACATTGTTGGAGTACCATAAATGGCTGTACATCTTCAACGAAACAAATATATAAGATGAAAAAGGTCATCAATTAAAAAAGGGTTTTTTTAATTACTCTGATAAGTGAGTGATTACATTTTAAAATCAATAACAGTGCTTTTTTGTTGGAGGTAATTGATAAATACAAGAGGAAGTGTATATTTAAATAAAAGTGATAACAGATCATAAATATTATAATCATTGAAAGAGTCATTGTAGACCTAATTGAAAGCAAAATTAGTTTATGCGTAGAGGTTAAAGAGTTGCTTCGATTGTATAACTTATTGTTTTTCTTTGTTAAATTTAAAAATAGCTTCAAACTAACTTTTCTTCATCTATAGCTTGAAGAGCAGCTAGAGCATCGAATGATGGTGCTGGAAATACGCAAGTTTGCAAATGAACACATGCGCTCAAACTACCCATAACACAACCGAAACAATGATACAGTGGATTCGGAATACAAATTATTGTACGCTAAAGATAATTATTTAATTATCACATTTCTTTGAATGATTTTTTTTAGATACTGAATTTGATAAAAAGATGGAATAGATGATTTTAGCAAAAGTAAGTGAAAAAGAAATCAATTATTGCTATACATTTCACCATAGTAGTAATGAAATATAGTCCTAATGATTCCTTTAAAAGAAGAGAAGAAAACATGAAATCATAGTATCACACACCTTTTCGTTGTAACCAGCGCGTTGTCCAACAAAATATGCATTATTCACAACATTATGATGAGTTAAGGTAGCTCCTTTTGGTTGCCCAGTGGTACCCTGAAATTTAAATGAACTAATTATAGCGTATTATTAAATAATTTTCATAATTATTACCATAATTTATCCAATACTGATCAATCTATTGTATCGGTATATTTATATATTTATTTCATATATTTCTCAACCTTATATATATATATATCAACGTGAGCTTTCTTTTTAGTACGTTATTTTGACTGCTACGTAACTTTCTTACTTTTCTTATATAATTTATTTTATTTTATTTTTTTATTTTTTCATACTTATAAAAATATGATACCAGAAAGTATTTTAATAAATATGTATATAGTAGCATTTTAGAATTAACAAATTAGTAATACAGGTGAAGGGATCCATTTATTTTCTGAATATCAAAAAATTTCAATAACTGTTAAGATCTTTTTTTCGTATTAACTGAAATACATATCAAAACTTATTCAAATAACTTATCCATCATAGAAATTATTCCTTTCTAAAAATATTCTACATTGGACAAGTTATTTGATTTTATTTTAATATAAGATAGATCGATCATAAGACAGATCGGTCAGTATCATTTTTTAAATCATTAATTATTTAAATTTTTTTTTCAATGAATATTCTCAAATTAAATTTCTTCTTTTTCAATTGAAGAGATGAAGAAATAGCTAGAAAAATAAATTAGATTGAATAATATAAAAATTGAGAAAAACAAACATGAAAAATCTAAAAGCGAAAAAAAATCAAGGTATGATAAAATGACAATTAATAATGAATGAAAACTAAATACAATTACTGCTTAATAATGCATGAAAACTAAATATAACTATTACTTCAATAAGACAGATAAATTAGAATTATTAAAGTTAGAGATGATATTATTAGCAAGAATTTTATATCTATATTAGGAATGTAGAAAAATTCCGTTTTTTTGACAGGTGAACAAAGAAGATGTTATTCGAGATTTTCCTTTTCTTAGATACTTTATAAACTTTGTCTATTTGTTTATTATTTATATTTTGAGTGGTTTCTTTTCCTTTCTGTCGAATATTAAACTTTTACTTCTGATATATTCAAATTTTAACAGTTTCTTTTTCTACTTTTGATAACATAAAAATATTTGTTGTAAAAGGAATGAAAGAATATCATCTCGGGATAGCCTATCATTTAGTTAGAGAAGATATCAGTCACTTTTTCAGGTTTATTATAAAATCGACCAATTCCTGATTTTCTCAATCATTTTCTTCAACAATGTCACGTCATTAGTGTGATATACCAAAATGAGAAATGTTCGAACATCAAATCTAATACTGCCAAAATAATCTATCGAAGCTTATAACTAGGCTTTTATATTATTATCCAAAAATCAACATAGACATTTAAAAGGTAAAAACACTAATGCGTGATACAACTGTATCTGTCAGATGCAAACGAAATACCTACACTGGTATATTGTATATTGACCGGATCATCCGGTCGTATCTGTCGCTCAATGTTGGCCAGTTTTAATCGATCTTCCTCAGTACCCATTTTTATCACATCCGAATATCTCCAGGCTCCTCTGCAAATATAATATTATCAATTATATATCTCATTTCATGTGAGATGCTCTTGAATTCTTCAACTAAATGTGACAGTTATTCGAATACGATAAATTATTATTTTCATTCATATATGTCTAAAAGATAAAAAAATCAGTTGAGAATTTATTTTGAAGCAAATAACCTTTAACACTTCTTTTAATCTTCCATGAAAACAAATCAGTTTAATTCAATAATCATCCTTACTTGTAAGATTTCTCATCAGCACTTTGATCGATGATAATAAGATGACGAAAAGCAGGAAAATAATCCACATTTATATTACCATTGCCTTCCGGTTTAACGGCAAGTTCCGGAATAATATCCACCATCGACAAATAGTAGTTTGATTTTTTGAAAGTTGCAGGTGAGACCAATGCTTTGATGCCAACTTTACCAATGGCAAATTTTAGCTCTTCCGATTGATATGATGGATTTATATTGACCTAGAATTTTTGAAAATTATTTATTAATTTTTTTTATAATCAAAAAAACCGCATTTGATTTTTGAGAATTCCAATAAATACAATTTTAGGAATAATTGAAGCTAACGAAAAATACTGTCAGTAATTATTATATTTTAGGTAACGAAAGCTTTTCCTGTAACTTACATTTAATTGATTTGATTTTATACAATATTATCGACACAAATTTATTCAATAATTTTTTCACTTAAGAAATATGAAATTACTTACCAAAATCATGCCAGCAAGTGCGGTAGCAAATTGGCAAACAATCCATTCGTATAAATTTGGGCCCCATATTCCTACACGATCACCACGATTCAAACCCAAATGCAACAAACCGGTAGCCAATTTTTCACACTGCATAGGAAATTATTTGAAATTAATCTAATCTTTAGTATTAAAAATTAATAATTTCAAGACGAATTTATTTACAGAAAATATTTCCAAAATTTTAATACTACTTTATATTATTTGAAATCCATTCCAAAACACTCAATTTATTTGGCAATAAAATAAAAATTAGGAATATATACATCATGAAGAAGTTGTTGATAGGTTTTCCGTATACCATCACGTTTAAAAATAACAAATTCTCGATTCGGAACCTATGATAAGCAATTAAATTGTTAAAGAATCTTTCTTGACAATTAGATTATAAGACGAAATTTTAATCAAATTTTCTAGAATTAACTAAAACTAAGCTAAATTGGATGAAAGGTATGAAAATTCAACCTGATCAACGGCTAATCGAAGACGATCATCATTGATATCAAATAGGAGAGGAATAGCTGATACACCATGAACATAACTTTTTCTCATAACTAAAACTAAGCTAATATTGATGAAAGATATGAAAATTTAACCTGATCAACAGCTAATCGAAGACGATCACCAATGGTATCAAATAGGAGAGGAATCGTTGATACACCATGAACATAACTTTTTCTCATAGCTTGTGCTGCCGCAATTTCTGATAGTACACTTGCATCTCCGTTATGTGATGCTTCTAAAAATTTTCAATTTTGAAATCATTTTTAAATACTTCGAAATAATTAATATTTTAGAAGTGTAAGATGCTCTCTATTTAAATATATCAATACAAAAGGAAAAAACTGAATTAAGAATTTTTTAATTAACTATAAAGTTTTCCTAATACTGTTTCGATTAAACTAATAAAAAATAATTCAGTTAATATTTAAATTTCAATTCTTTGATTTTAAGTTCTCTTTAAATTTTAAATTTAAGTTTTAAATTTTTAAGTTGATTTTAAGTTCTTTGATTTTAAGAGAAGCTAAATTTCGATATTTTTTATGAACAGAGAAAGCAAAGAAAAAAGTTAAGATTTATATTTTAATTCTCTGATTCGAAAATGAAAACCAGATATAGTATTGAGAGAACAAAAAAGAGAGAAAGATTTATATTTCGATTCTTTAATTTTAAAACAAAACAAATAAATGGATAGTAATTTGAAGAGATGAAAATGAGTAGCTTAAAATGATATCGTAAAAGGCAATGAGAAACTATTCTTCTTTTTTCCATCCTTCCTATTTTCTCTTTCGAAAAATTGAGTAATTAATCAACAGTCTGATAATTAAAACAATTGAAAACACAATTTTGATTAATTCAAAAGATGAAATTTATTATTTTTTTTAATTGTCATTTCTTGAAAGAAAGAAAAAGAGATGATTGAAATAAATGCTATTAATGTTGACAGAATGAGAGCTCGGTAAAGATTGTTCAGGAAGTGACCGGAATATTAAATCAAAAAGATTCTATACCGAAAGATAGACGGACAATATGGAATAGTAATTTATAGTTTTCAAGAAAGGATGTAAATTATCCCATCATTTATAAATTATTCTATCTAATTTATTTATAAATTACTAATACAACAACTTTGAAATTTCAACGACAACAATATAAACATTAAAAGTTGTATTTAATTTCATGAAACTTTAATAAATATGCTGAATTACTACGAATAATAATTATTTCCAACGATTAATATGATACATTTTATTTATATATTTTGATAATATGAAGAATTAACTAAAAATTTCAAAATATTTAATTAATTAAAATGAAAATTAATTTATACTAACCAATATGCATACTATTACTGCAATAACTGTAAATTTTGGCCGCAATATCAGATATATTTTTCCACTGTTTGTGCAAAGTATCCACTCTTTTAACTACCTGTAAGTAAATTTCATTCCATCAATTTTTAGCATGAGCTAATTAGAATATCAACATTATTAGTTGAACTTATAAGGTATCACTATCATATCGTATCATATCATTATATCAAAAAGAATGTAAAATATAGGTTACATAAATATCAGGAAAAAAAAGAAGAAAAAATGGAATCAAATGAAAAAGATTGTTAGATGATATCAAATAAAATAGATAATATCAGCTGTTATCCGTCAAACCATCTTATGCATTATACATTTGATTTGAAGTTTAACCATATCGATCCAAATAATTACGAAATAATTAAATATGGTATGAAGAATAATAGGTTACGAAGTAAATGAGCATTTTTTAATTCCACTAAAATTGATGGAAATTAATTTTTTTAATTATCAAAAATTAAAACAACAAAAAAGGAAAGAAAAATAAATTTAATAAAAAGAAATTAATTTGATTCTTTTTCTTCAAAAAATTACATATGATATGTATTTATATCATTAAATGATAATTTTAATGATAATATTTAAATTTAATTTAACTTAATATTTAGTCAAAAATTTTTGGCAAAATCATTTATCAGAAAAAAGGGTATAAAAGATATTTAGAAAAGAGAGAAAATGAATTCGGTAAATTTCTAAAAGATAACAAACATTGAAAAGCGGCAAGAAAAGGTTTATTTAAGTGATAATAATGATAGGATAAATCGGGAATATACACATACATATATATGGGGATCAAGTATTCGGATCAACTAATACAACTGATATATATTTTTTCTCATCTACTACATAAATCCTTTCTGTTGTGCTTTTATCTAATGCTATCAATCATTGAATTAAAACGAGCTTTTTTTGCTTCCTCCAATTTTATTCACATCATTATTATCAGTATTGATCACCTTTTTTTTAATCGATATTGATTTGAAATTCTCTCTGATACAAATAAATATTTCGCAATTCAAGATTCTATTGATTTGAATTCTCTCAGATACAAACACATATTTAGACGATTCAAGATTCTATTGATTTGATATTGATTTGAAATTATCTCGGATACAAATACATACTTAGCAATTCAAGATTCTATTCCTATTGATTTCATATTGATTTGAATTCTCTCAGACACGAACACATATTTAACGATTCAAGATTCTATTGATTTGATATTGATTTGAATTCTCTCAGATACAAACACATATTTAACAATTCAAGATTCTATTGATTTGATATTGATTTGAAATTCTCTCGGATACAAATACATATTTAGCAAATTCCAAAAACCCTAGAGAAAAATTTCATTTAATTATTCAATTAATATTTTCCGTAAAGGAAATATAGGAAAAAAATAAAAGGCATAACTGATAAAGTTAATTTAATCTAATATATCAATAGCAATTTATTGACAGTAAAATTACAAACATTTTTCCTCAGCAAGAAATTGAGACAATAAAATGAAGAAATTTTTTAGTGAAAAAAGTTCTGAAGAAGAAATTCTTTCGCAACGAAGAAATTTCAACAAAAAGGAAACGAAAATTTTTGATATACAAAAATAATGAAAATAATAAAAATGAAAATTATTTTTGATAAATTTTGGAGAGGGAAAAAAAGGAATTTCTTAATGGAAATAATTCTAAATTATTATAAAATCAATTTTTCATAGAGAATAATTTCAAATACATTCATTGCAAATTGTTTTTAAAATTCTAAAAGTGAAATTTCATTAATTACAGTAATATTAAGCAATTTTAATTAAAAAATTTTTGTATATTAAATATCAAACAAATATTTTTTTGTATAGTAAATGTGCTGAAACTATTAAAGAGTTAATAGTTTATTAAAGAGTTAATAGTTGTAAGTCTGATTTAAATGATTTTCTTCTTATATAAATTTATATAAATATAAAAGATATAAATATAAATATAAAAAAATATAGATATAAATTTCTATATAAAAATAAAATTTATATAAATATAAAATCTTATACAAATTTTGCTGAAACAATTGAAGAGTTAATAGTTGTAAGTCTGGTTTAAATGATATATTTATATAAATTAGCTATATTAAGTTGTCAATCGTTGTTTTTTTTTAGATGGATAATATTGTCATCCAATTATCTTTCAGATTTCTGATATTATCTAATATGAGAGAATTTCCCTATCAGAAAGATGAAAAGCAGATTGATTTGTTGTTCGTTTCAGATTAATCATATTAGTTATGTAATCGAAGCAAACAATCGAAATAATTTATCATCAACAAAAAATATTTCCGGCTTCATATTTAGTATTACCGTGAAATTGCTATTCGATACAATTGCTGATATGTAATTAACATAATTATCCGAATTTTAACGAATAACCAATCGATTCAAAATTATCAATTCCCGCTTATTATCATATTATTATCTATTTTTAATAGCCTAAAATAATATTTAGATAAATAATCCACAAAAAGAACTTTCTATCGAAAATTTTTACACTAAACAGTTTACTGCAAAAAAAGGTATACAACAGCAATGATGAAATTAATTTATTTTAGTGAAATAAAATCGAAGTAAAAAATAGACAAAAAAAAATTACCATAACCTTGACAGAAAATGTGATGCTGTCACTAAATTTACTAACATCTTCAAAGACCCTTTTTGACATAATTTCTGCAACAACATTGTCGAAAACATAACAGTTGTAATTTTGAATACTAGTAACAGCTCTCCGATTATGATATTATAGAGAGTGATAACGATACCTAATTAATTTAAGAAAATGATATTTTGGAAAAATTATATATTTCCTAAAATAGTTTAACTGTTGGAATAGTATGGAAGGGAAATTTATTGATTACCGTTGCAAAAAAATGCAAACAAAAATTTTTGCAACTTAAAAGGATGAATTGAATTTTTAAATAAATAGCGGAAAAATTTTCCTGCTCGTTCATTAATTATTAGGGAATGGAAGGAATGGTTATTTTGATGATTTCAAAGAATGATTAGTTAATTGAATTATTTAATTTGAAATTAAATTATCAGCAAAAAAATAGGAACGATAATTCATTCCATGTTCTTTTTTTCTTTCTTCAAATAGACATGGAAATGAAATAAAAGACTGTCAGAATGAATTTATGAAATTAACAGCTTATGAAAAAAATATTTATGAAATTAACAAAATTTAGCAAACATATAGACGATGAGAAATGATTAGATAAATAGATGATCGCTTATCATAGTTATCAAAACAATTAGCTACTCGGAGATTTTATTTAGCTATGAGAAATATCATTACATTTGTAGAAAAAAATTAATTGTAATGTGAAAAATAAAAAGGAAGAAAATACAGTTATAGAGCAGTAATGGATGAAATATATTATATAATATATTATATATATATAATTGCATTTTTATTTCATTTTTTATATTGATAAAATTATAAACTGTTAATAAAATTTTTATTATTTCACTCTTCTATATGACTTAAAGCACAGATAGAATATATGAACTTGCATTAGAAACAACGGCAGAAA